CCCCAAAACCCCAAAACCCCAAAACCCCAAATTGGTTTAATAATATTGAAATAGAGAAATCAGAATGAAGCAGAGAACTATATAATGCTGAAAAATTAATACTCTTAATTTTAGCCAAGATCTAAATTTCGTGCTAATCCTTTACTCCAAAACTTTATTGTCTACGTCTAAAATGAAAGTCTGATAATATTCCCTTCAACACAAATAGGAATTTATCAGATTTAGACGATTTGCACCATTTCAACAGGACTAGTGTTTTAAACCTACAACCTATGCCGTCTGGGAATATTTAAAACACTTGATAAATTTAGCCTAAAACTTCTTGCATTTCATGAACTATTCTACTATCAGAAGACCAGAAATTCATATTGAACTAAAGAAAAGGGATGAATGCGGTTTATCAATCTGGTCCTGATTTTTTAATTTCTCCATAAAATATCGAATAACTGAAATCAAAGGAGCACATTATTATTCCTATAAACCTTCATATAAATTATTCATATCACCAAAATGTGCAAACTAGTATCTAGCTGAAACTGAAGGTTAAGAAAATACCTCTTAAAATAGAAATATTTTTCCTAAATTTTACATAATTAAGACACTCGAATTAAGAAGGCGGTTGGTATGCCAAGTTACTCCCTTAATCAACCTTGAAGGATTTTGAAGACTTCCCAGTACTTCCTGTATGCGACCTATCGGCTTCATCTATAAAAGTAGATAACCTCAGAATGGACGAAAGTCTCCCTCAATTAACTTTAGAAGCTGTAGCAGCAAGTTTAAAAGAACTGAAATTTTAGAAATATCAAAAATTCTGAAGGGAACTTACTCATTGATCTTCTAGCGAGGATTTTCAAATTTACCTTCTTGTTCTTACTCCTCTTCCTATTCAAAATATAAAAATTCCAAACTTATTTCAGCGGGTATTTCATAAGAAGTCTCTAAACCTAAGCCAACCACTGTATTCTCAAAAATCGGGTTATGCACAAAGGAAGGAGAGTTTATAATCCGAAAAACCCACTTTGAACATTTGCTAATAGAAAGCTCCTTGAGCTCCTTGAGGGATGTATTTGGCTCTTGCTTTACATAGTCACTCTTGTCGGACCCGCTTGACTATTTAAAGTTAAAACAACAAGCATACCCTTTGCTTCAGCTTAATCGGCTCTAATGTTAATTTAGCTGACTTCTTAGACTTTGGAACCAGAACGGGACTGTCCTTTTGGGGATTATCATCTTCTGTGGCCTCTGAGTCTTTCCCCTGTTGCTTGATCTTGTCTTTAAGCTTCTTCAAAAAACCCAATTTTATCAAGGACATGGACTTATTTAATAATCTGCTTCTTCGTTAGAGTTGACCTATATTCAAAATTTTGGTTATGCTCGGAGATGAGTAAATGTTCTTGGCACTTTAAAAAATAAACCGGTTTAGGCTACTAGACCATTACCTTTTCTTCACTTTAAGCGTTCTCGAAGCTTGTCTGAGTAGCCTTTTCTTTGACCTGATTTGCCTGTGACCTGTTGCGTTTGCAGCAGAGTTGAAGTTATCGTTGAAGTTCCCACTAACGTGCGTATTTGGAGTGATATCTCCCTTGCTCTCAGAGAACTGGATTGAGGAATTCAAGTTATTATTTCCTCTTAGTCTGAAACCAGTCGCGTCTTCTTTAAAATGCTTACTATTTTTGCTCATTAAAGTTTTGTTATGCTGTTCAGCACTATTGAAGGCCTGTAAATTCCGACTCTTTCTAATATTCTGAGATTTCTTACGTCTGGCGAAAGATGAGTCCTCATCATTTGTATTTTCAGAATAAATAGACTTATTTCCTCCTAACTGGAGCATTACAAGGATCAAGTACATTATTTAACTGGAACATCAATAGCTTCACTAAGTTTTGGCCCAAATGTGTAAATCATCTGTCACAAGCCAGTAGCTGTCTGAGAGCCATTACTCAGGAGTCTCAATGAAAGCCCCTTAAATTATCCTGCTCTTTCCCGTGGTTTTTAGCTAAAGTAATTGAATAAAACCAATGGAGACGTAAAACTGTAGCCTTAATTACGATCAACCAACAAATTCACTGCTTATTTTCCTTAAAAAACGACAAAAAAACAGCAAAGTTTGCACTTATGTTGCTAAATCTAGCTAGAACAGAGCCTCACCTGCATAAATATTCAGATTATTTGACTTCGCAAAGGTGTCCATATTAGTTTTAGAAAATAAGTTTTATCAATAATGATGCTAAATCTAGGGGTTTTGGGGTTTTGGGGTTTTGGGG